CCAAAAATAAAGGAGAAAAACATGTAAACAGATGTAAATCTAGATACAAGTCTATCTATCTATATCTACATCTACATCTATCTGTCCATCCATCCATCCATCCATCCATTGGATGAACAGGGAAAAGGTTAAAGTTAGAAATCAGGAAGCACCTAATCACATACTTTCTCTTGGGATGGGTGTGGTTTATAGAGGGTGCTACAGAAGATGCACTCAGATTCAGTTGCTTGGTACTCTATCCTGTCCAAGGTTGAGTCAGGGGAATAAGGTTGGACCTTGAGATGTCAACATAACCAAAAACAATGTAATTCTAACCAAAGAAGCTGAGGTTCATGTTTTATTTTTACCCACCTGATCCATCTGAACTATTCTAGACCAGACTAGCTTTTTCTGCCCAATATTATATAAGTAGAATTTTCAAATACACTGAAAATTTGAAATAATTGTACAGTGGATACCCATATACTTACTTCCTAGGTTCTTCATTTGTTATATTTTGCTTTGTTTATGTTATGGACTGAATGTGTGTATTCTCCCAAAAGTTACATGTTGAAGCCTTAATCCCCAATGTGATGGTATTTGGATGTGTGACCTTTAGGAGGTAATTAGGTCATGAGGGTGGATCCCTCATGATTGAGATTAGTGCCCTTATAAGAGAAGACAAGAGAGAGATGATTTCTCTCTCTGCCATGTGAGGATACAGCAAGAAGGTATCGGTCTGCAAAGCAGGAAGAGGGTTCTCACCAGGAACCAAATCAGCTGGACTTCTATCTTGAACTTCCCAGCCTCCAGAACTGTGAGAAATAAATTTCTGTGAAGGCACTTAGCGTATGGCATTTTTGTTGTAGTAGCCCAAGCTCAGACCATTTTCTTTCTCATATACCTGCGTATCTATCTACCCATCAATCCCTCTTAGCTGTATTCATCATTATTCTTCACCCCTAAACATTTCTGCATACATTTAAATAACCAGAGTTCAATATTTTATGGTTCTTTTCTACTTTAAGGTAAAATTTACACACAGTGAAATGCACAAAGCCTAGTACCATTTGGTAAGTTTTGACAAATGCAAACATCCATTTAACTCATACTCCCATCGAAATATAGAACATGCCCATCACCTCAGAATATTCTTTCGTGTCCATGCCCAGTTCATCTTGACACTGATACCAGTCCTGAGGCAACCACTTTTCTGCTTATTTTCACTGTAGATAAGTTTTGCTTATTTGAGAACTTCCTATGAATGGAGTCATGTAATAGGTACTCAGTATGTTTTTGAGATCCCATGTTAATTTCCTTTTTAGTTGTTGAATAGTATTCCACTATATAAATATATCTTTGTTTATTCATTCATGTGGACATGAGGGCTCTTTGCAGTTTTTCCATTACGAATAAATCTGCTCTGAGCATTCTTGTGCAGGTCTTTTCTTCTTCTTCTTCTTCTTTTTAACATGTGGATAAATGCCTAAAAATAGAACTGTTGCATTTTCAGCACAAGTTTAGTTGTATAAGAAACTGCCAGGCCTTTTCCCAAGTGGTTGTTCCATTCCCACCAACAATGTATTCTCCACATCCTCACCAACACTTGATGGAATCAGCCTTACTTTTAGCCTTTCTAGTGCACGTCATGGAGACTCATATCTAAGAATGCTCTCACCAGCTTCTACCCATCAAAGCAAAACCTGCCTCTCACTGAGACCTCTCCCCCAAGTATTTACCTCGGAAGTTGGAGAAGGGGGGCTTACATTTCAGTGGTTTATTTCTTCTAAGGCCCTAATAGAGAAGAGGAATTTCATCTACTATCTGTCCGCCTTTCCTCTATCTTGCTTAGAAAGAAAAGTTTAAAATGTCCGAACAGTCATCCGACTGGATCAAGCTGTCAAGTTCAAAGTTCTCTGTTTCATGATATATTTTGAGGCAAAAGATTCTCACTTCTAAATCTCCAGCCTTTCTCCCAGTTTCTAGCAATATTTAGAAAGTTCAATATTCGAGAGAAGAAAATTTCCCAATATTCAGGCTCAACCTATTCTCCTTCAGGCCTCCCTAAGGACCATTCTTCAATTATCATAGCTACTCTGTAAAGCAGGATTGGTGTCCCCTGTTTACAGAAGAGGGAACTGTCCCTGAGCCCAGAGTCTTATGCACAGGGTTTTAGGACCCTCACATGAGCGTTCCCACACATGCCTCTCCCCTTGCAGGCAGCTCCTCATGGCAGACTCCGACCCGTGATGCAGGGCTCTGGCGTCACCTCCTACCCTCCATCCACCTCATGGGGACAGTTCACTTGGCCGTCTCCCTCAGCCACCCATCACCCCCAGGCCCACTCATCCCCTAGCTTGCATCTTCTCTCCTCCCCCCTTTCTTCCAACTCTGCTCAGTTATAACACTCTTGTTCTGTCTCTTATTTTCTTCCATATGGGAACTAAAAATGTAACCTAAGCTTGCCTGATGACTGCCAAAGTAGTGCTAGTGGCATAATAAAGTGAGACATAATGAAGAGCCAATGCCATCAACATCTAAAGCCCTTGAAAGTACCAAGAGATCCCTTTTACAATCTCCACAAAGGAACCTTCTACTTTCTCAACCCCTCCTAATTAAACTGGCTTTTCCTCAAGTGCCAGAATTCTACATAAACAAAAAACTTTTGTCTTCACTACTGGGTTTCTGTTTTAATGAACAGCATCACAGCAACATTGTTTTCTATTACTTTGGTTGCAAAGATACAGCATGTCAGTTAGGGTTTAAATTAAATTGCAACATTATGTCTACAAAAAATCATGTAGCAAATGCCAAACTGACTTAAACTTCTGGAATAAAATCAATTTCTAAATTAGGACTTGCCTTTTTTTTCTGTTCAGTTTTAAATATTTGTTACAAGAATTTCCTCTTTGGCATGTTTTCTCTTATATAGAAATGTATAATGATACAATAGTACCATCCTCAACATCACAGCTTTCTATGTAGTATTTCTACCTAGAAAGTATATATGATTCCAATTCCATTTTACAGATGAGGAAACTGAAATTCAGGAAAGTTTAATAACTTCCAGCTAGTAAGTGGCAGAGCCTGAATTCACACCTTAGTTTGTTAGCCTCCAGCTGATGCTTTCTTAGCCTCCATATTACCACCCAGCACACAGATTAAAGCTTCCCAGCGTGGATTGGAACAGGTCATGACTGTGTGATTTACCTCCCCACCATTCTCTGCAGCTCCACCTTGTTCCTCCCAAGTAGTTATCCAGATCTCACCAAATTTCAGGAGGATAGGGGAAAACTGGAAAAAGCTCTAAAAGAAGAGCAGTAAATCCAGATCTTTAATAAATCCAGAGCCATTTTAAAAAAACAAAGCTGTATCTAGCAAAAAGACTAGCTGTGTGATTAATAATCAGCACCTATGATGTATGTTAAATAGCTCTCACATGGCCATGAGCATCAACACAGAACATGGCTTATGTACCCACTCTCTTGTTAGCAAGAGTGCTGGGTTTTCCTTATGACATTGCTCTAATGGTGTTAATAGACTGACTAACAAGATACCACTGAACAGAGACTTTGTGGGCTGCAGCACAGATAAAGACTAAGAAGAGTGAGAGCCTGGATTTGGCTATAGAAGCTGACAGTTTTCTCCCAGCTTGGCTGGCTCCTCGCCTGATGCTGGCATGTGAGGCCAGAGCCCATTGACTCCTTTAGCCTACCATGTTGTTATCAACTTCATCCTTATTTCAGTGAGACTCTGGTCCCTGGGATGGACAGGCTCACTTGTCCTCCACGCTACCCTTTCTAGTTTACTTTCTGGACTTGAAAGGCTGGAAATGCAACATTTTTCAGACTCTCTTGCAGCTAGAATTCCAGATACAAATTAGGTTCCTCTGGTTGTATGAACTTGCATGAGTTCCAGAAGGCAGAAGTGAGGCAGAAACCATCTTCCTGTCCCCTTTTAAGCTATTTTTGCTGACAATCATTAAAACTGAGCTAATTTTTAGCAGCGTTATTCCAATGCTCAGTCTCTAACTTCTTGGGTCCTGATAGGCAGTTGCGGCTGTTTCCAGCAGCACCATTTTTATTCCGGCTTTCTGAGCCCAGGACTGCAGCTACAGGAGTGTCTTGGGCCCCTCTTTCCAGTGGTGATCTCCAAAGTGGTAGTTCTCCTGGTAAGTCAGGCTTATGTTACCCCAGATCCTCTTCCACTTCCTCCTCTGTCAGCACCATAACCACTAACATTTCTTGTATGCTCACTGTGTGTTAGGCACTAGGCTAAATACTTTATAGAAATCATTTTATTTAATCCCCCCCACAAAAACCCATAAGGAAAGTATTATTGGGGCGCCTGGGTGGCTCAGTCGTTAAGCGTCTGCTTTAGGCTCAGGTCATGATCCCAGGGTCCTGGGATCGAGCCCCGCACAGGGCTCCCTGCTCAGCAGAGAGCCTGCTTCTCCCTCTCCCACTCCCCCTGCTTGTGTTCCCTCTCTCGCTGTGTCTCTTTCTGTCAAATAAATAAATAAAATCTTAAAAAAAAAAAAAAAGAAAGTATTATTAATATCACTTTGTTCCAGATGAACCTACTGGGATTCAGAATAGAGAGTTAAATTGTACTGGATCAGAGCGAAGCTAATGGGTAAGTGGGTAGAGCTGGACTTTGACCCTGGATCTGCCTCACTCCAAAGCTTATGCTCTGCCTCTTTAAAGGTGTGGAACCTATCAGCAGATTTTAATTGCCCATACACATTATGTTGCTGAAGAGACATCATTCTTTTCCCTTTAACCATATACATGTAGAGGCCAGTCTATTTTGCATCGAGATACATCCAGATATCAAAGAAGCCTTCAATCTAATTAGATAGAAAGGCATTTAAAATATTAAGAGGTATCACTTTGTAAAAACATGTCTAAGTCATTCTGAAATCATTTCTTTGTAAAAGTTAAAAAATTAAGACCAAAGCAAACACAGCCTTCTGCTTGCTCTTGGAAGGCCCAGAGCTAGGCGTCCAGACATGCACTTACCAGGCGCTCTATTAACAGCGAGGTTTCGGAAATGGCTGCCTTTGATCATTTCCACGGATAATCGCCCCGTTGTGGCATTGTAGGACAGCCCCACCAACAGCTCTGGCGCTCCTCCATGAGACAGCGACTGCGTGGATGAAGCACTATCACTGTGAGAAACTGCAGATGGGCTGAGCGGAGACTCTCCACTCTGGAGGGGAAGAACAACAAAGAATCCATTGGTCCACGCTGTACTACTCTCTTACAGAAAGCCGATATTATGTTTGGTGAAATCGTGGCCCAATCTCAACTGCTGCCAAAGATTACTAACAGCGCACTTGGTGTGAATGATAATGGGCCTGGGGAGTGCAGTCATGGATGAGATGCCCCGCATTATTCGCTGACATATTTGCTTCGAGAGCTGTCTCCATTCAACATTTCCTCTCTAAAGACAAAATGGACAAAGATGTTATTACTAGTGTAAATCAAACGCTCTCAGATACACGAAGAGCTAATAATACATTTAATATAGACCCAAATTCCCTCCAGTGTCATTTGTGCTTGAATGTTTCTATGGAACCCATCCACTCTAGGCATGAGTTTTGTTTCTGTTCTCTGCAGCTTCTTGATGAATGTAGTAACACAGGAGGCACTTTGTCTTCACTAGAAAAGAAATGACCACGACCATCTACCACCACATAGAACATTTGGCCCCTAGTTCTACTTCCTAGGGGTGTCAGGAATACACCAGATGCTATTACCCCCCCTCCCCGAGGAAATGAATTACACTGAAAATGAGCACTTTTATGATTGTTTGGTAAAACAGTCCATGATTGGACTGTGGATCTCAGAGACTTTGCACACACCAGGTGAGCCTAGGAGAGAGACGATGCTTTCTGTCCTGTTTATTCACACACCTGCTTCTCCAAAGTGCCCACCTTTCTACACCAGACACATTGGGAGGAGGAGAGCAAAGTAAGTCAGGATGTTGACTCTCACCTCAAGAAGCATAGTGGGCACTGGCCCTGGGGGGTGGGCAAGACAGCCAGCCTCCAAGAACCACCACCTCCTCCACCAGAAACAAGTGAATCAGACTTAGCTCAAACTTTCTTCCAAACATCTGAAGTCATTTCCTAAACTTGTTATCAAAAACCCCACAAAGGGACGCCTGGGTGGCTCAGGTCATGATCCCAGGGTCCTGGGATCGAGCCCTGGTCGGGCTCCTTGCTCAGTGGGGAGCCTGCTTCTCCCTCTCCCACTCCCTCTGCTTGTAGTCTCTCTCTCTGACAAATAATTAAATAAAATCTTTTTTAAAAAACCCACAAAATAAACACATTAAAAGGAATTAAATATTCTTCACATCTGTAGGAAAAAATCCTGTTTACCAAGTCATGGCAGAGCCCTGGGCTTTCAAGAACACAATATGAAAACTATAGGGAGAGCTGGTTTTGATAGGGGCCATATAGGCCCTGCTGTCTAGATGATGACAATCCAGTAGTGACATATTTGCTTAGTTTGGGGTAAGGATCACCCCTTCCCTGTGCTTCTACAGAAGCATCTACCAAGGCACCTATCACAACAGAGCTTGCCTCTCCCAACACATTTGAATCCTTGTAGATCACTCAGTCTAGTGCATAGCCCAATGCCTGGCATATAATCATGATGAACAGATAACTGATGAATTTTTACCTTCAAAGTTCTTTCACACTGGCTAATCTTCCCCACTCAACTCTGTGTCTCTAGGACAGGACCTGGCACAGAGAAATCGGGGTGAGGTCATACCTACTCCTATGCCTTATAGTGCAGGATTCCTTGACCTCCTCTGACTTCTATTTTCCATGATTTCACATATACTTTAGTCAGAGCTTAAGAAAAAAGAGAGATTTAAGCAGAAATGAGAAATTATCTGGCTTTTTTTTTTTTTAGATTTTATTTACTTTACAGAGAGGTAGAGAGCACGAGTGGGGGGAGGGGCAGAGGGAGAGAGAGAATCCTATGCAGACTCCGCGCTGAGCTCGGAGCCAGATGTGGGGCTCCATCCCAGGATCGAGCTCATGACCTGAACCAAAATCCAGAGTCAGACCCTTAATGGACTGAGCCACCCAAGTGCCCCTAAAAGGTTCATCTGAGTCCCTGGGTTGGGAATAGTCTGTAAGGGGCAAAGGCAAAAGCAGGAAGACCACTGGGAGGCCATTTCAATAATCCAGCACAGTTAGGTTCTGGTTATAGTTTGAAGATAGAGCCAAGAGGATTTCGGGTTGATCTGAACAACTAAAAGGATGAAGTTGCCTTTAGCCAAGATGGGAAGGCTGCAGGTAGAATAGATTTAGGGAGACAAGTCTGGAGATACTAATTTTGAGATAGCTATTAAAAATTTAAGTGGCTGGATCTCCCATCACTACACTCCAGGCTTTCTGGCTCCTTTCCTCCCCCTAGACAGGACAAGCTCCTTCCTACTTCTCGATGCCTGAATGTGCCATTTCCTCCGTCTAGAATCCTTGGTCATCCACATGTCACCAGGCTTGATCCCTTGATTTGTGGAGTTCTGTGTTTTAGTACCACCTCAAAGGCACATTCTCTGACCCTTCTTAACCAACCGCAGCCTCTATCCCTCTCTCTCTCTCCCCTTGCAAACCCTGGTTTTCTCTTGTTGCCCCTCATCTCCCAGGCTGAAAGCTCTTGAGGGCAGAGGCATCACCCTGTTTGTTCTTTCCCACATCCCCTCTGCCTGGATAGCACCTGACATGGCAGGCACTCAGTAAACGTTTCTGAATGGATGACTGATTGGCCCAATAGCCCAAGATGAGCTACCTGATATTTTTATATGGTTTTTAAAAGGAGGCCCTCATACTAGATGACATTTAACCCCCAGCAATAGCGGGTTGTCCATCTTGGAGACATACAAGCTGTGCAGGGATGCAGAGGATAAGGCACATGGGAGGAGCACAGGCGTATAAATGGAAGGTCTCAGGAGTGGCTGGAGACCCGGGCTGCTCTGGTAGCCTACTCAGACAAACATGCTAAGGAGCTCCCCTTCAAAGTCCCATCTCTGAGATTCATCATAATGCAGAGGAAGGGTGGCGCAAGAGGGGGACGGTCAGACCACAGGTCAGTTAATCAGCAGGCTAAGCCCTTCCCCCACACTTGCTGTCATTTCCAGAAATGGACAGGGAATACACCCATTGACTTATAGGGAAGATGGGCATGAAGAAAAAAACCATTGTACCGTGAAGTGCAAATCATGGCTTATAAGGATGGGGAGAGCCAAATGGAAAATTAAATTAAGGTGTTTGAATTCACAGGCTGAATGTACTAAATCAAGGGCTGACAATTCCAGATCCCTGAACATACCCGCATCATTAGCAGCACCATTTAACATACTCACGCTGATATTACTTCTTGGCTCCAGAACCAGAGTCACTTTCATTTCCCCTTCTGGGTGCAGGTGGCTGAGATGGAATAGCTTCTCTCCCATCATTCTCTCACGGGTCATCTTGCGGGCAGCATACAGACGGAAGCGGGCAGCACAGGCAGCCACATATCTGGGCTCCAGCTTGGTGAAGGTGACCTTCTCCGTGAAGACAGGGTTGGGGCCTCTCTGTATGCTTGTCCTGCCCCTCTGTTTCTTACTGGGCAGAAGCACTACGTGAACTTGCCAGGAGTTGACACCACTTCGGTCCTTATCTGGGAGGCCCTGTGCTCTCACAATGGTCACTGTGAGCTTCTGGCTGGAGGCTCTATATTCAAAGATGACATCCAGGTCACCACATTTTGAGATGGGCTCCAAGACCCCAGCTGGCACCTGGAAATTGGCCCCATCCTGTTCCTGTTGCAGATAGAGGAAGAGATTAGGAATGCAAATGATAATGCCCAAATACCCTTTGGTGACATGGTGCCCCTCTGTGCTCCTTCGGAACCCTGTACTTTTTGACTGCTAGCACATATCCCTATACATTAGAAGGGTCTAGACATAGACATACTGGTCTATGTCTCCCTTGGACTGTGAATTCTCTAGGGGTACAGTCTCTGGCATATGGTGAGCCTTCATGAATGTTTTTGGAATGAATGAAGAAAGCTTTTATAATTTGCAAAGTGTTTTTATATACACTGACTCTCAAAAAGCACAACTGACCACTATCATTGAAACTGAGATACTAAGTCTAAAATTAGTCAACTATGCAACTGCCAAGAAACAACTTTTTCTGGAGTCCCCAGGAGAAATGGTTGAGTCTGGGCCTGTGCTCCAAGGGCCAGGACTTCCTGCAGATGAGAATCCTTATGGGGCCCAATGACAGGTGATCCTTCAGTAGATTTTCAAGCTACATGGGGGAAAAGGTTTTAGAGTAGAGCTTCTCAAACATTCATGTGGACTTGAGTCACTCCGAGTTTCTGATTCCGTAGGCCTGGGGTGGGGCCTGAGACTCTGCACATCTCAGGCCCTGAGGATGCCACAGCTGGCCTCAAGACACACTTTGAGTACGAAGGGTTTAGGAGGACACCTACAGCAACCACTTAGCAAACAGCAACACTGGATGTGGAGACAGAACCCCTGGGTTGAAAGCATAACTCTACCACACACTAGCTTTTTGGTTCTGGCCAAAAAGGCCACCCTCTCTGTGCTTTAGCTGCAAAATGAACATTAAGATGCCTACCTGATGGAGTGCTGTGGTGAGGTTTTATGAGATAGGGAAAAATACCTGGCTTAGACCGACTCCATCAATATCTATTCCCATCAATGGACTGATGCTGCCTATTTTCAAGCATGGGCCCCTCATTGTAAAATAGCACCCTTAGACAACAATTCACCCATAGCCACTCAGATCTGATGACCTCACAGAGAAAGCTGAGCTGACCTGCATTACTACAGTGAAGTACTCTCCAACAAACTATAAAGAATGTCAACATAATTTGATTTTTTTTCTATGAAGGCATGATACTCATAACTAAACTTTGAGCTGATTCTTGTTGTAAGTCGGAATCCATTCTCATTTATGTAATTGAACACCAGACTTTGCTAATTTAAAGACTACTTTAAAATATATAATAAAGCACCTCAAAAATGCACATTCATCAGCAGGACTTTCCCCGCAGAGTGGAGATGAAAGTGCACAGTTCTCTGGAGTGAGACATCCTCAGGGACCCCAGGTCTACCACTTCCTCCCCCTAGGGCATTGGACGAGTTATCTAATCCTTTCCACTCTTGGTTTTTTTCAAGAGTAAAATGGGGATGAAAACTATTTATAGGGTTGTTGTGAAAATGAAAGGATTTGACATGCGGAAGACATGGAATAAATGCCTTCTCTTTTAAAATTCACATTAGTCTACTGAGAAAATTTAGGCTTCTTGCAAAATAAGGGAAGCTCCTTATATTCTTTCCTCAGCATGCATTCATGTGAGAGTGTTTCTATTCAGAGGTACTTAGTTTCAAGTGATAAAAGTGGTTGCTATAGAGACTTCTGAATACAACTGACTAGTGTAGATATAATATTAGAAGCAAGTCTCCAAGGAGTTAGGCTAACTCAGAAATCAAGTCACAGTCTTCTGTTAAAACTCCCATCTATTTTAGCTTACTCTTGATCATCTCTATATTGCTTGCTAGATCAGAAGTAATGATAGCCCACTTCCACTAAGCCCTTTCTTGTGCCGGGTACCGTACTAAACCCTTTACAGATGGCAAAAGCCCACTGTTATGCACTTTAGACCTTCTTGTTTTAGACCTTTTGTTACGTCTCCCCCTACAGATGCAGTCTTTCAGGCTCTAAGTAGCTTCGGCCTGACACAGCCCAAGGAGGTCCCACCTCCTGCCCATGCGATGTGAGTCTCAACTCCCACCACAGACCTCTCTGTTGATGTTAAGTCTTGGAAAGTTAGAGAATCCTGGCTGGCATTCATGTATATAAAGTCCAGCATGTGTGTGAGGTTAATGCCCCAGGCAGTAAACTTGTCTCCCCTTGGACGAGTGTCCTGAGAGCAGTTTAATACAGCTTCTTACAGCACAGTCCCACAAGATCAAGCCATGAGTCACACTTAGTGGTGGCCAACTTGATTACACATTCTAATATGGCTCTCCCTTCTTCCCTGCCTCACTCCCTGCCTTGTCCCTCACTCTTGTTCCCAGGGATTGTATATCCTGACAAAGTAGGCTCTGCTTTTTGTGAAATCCAGCTAAGAAATATTATCTTTTAAAATATTCACATTAACCTAATGAGGAAGGAATTTTAATATCTTCATTTTATGGGGGAGGAAACTTAAGATTTAGAAACTCACTCCCTGCCCCCAACCTCATATGCCCCACCAGGACAATGCAGGATTTTCCAGCATTAATGCTCAAAATCCCAAACCTTATGTCGAACCACGATGTCTCCCTTCTTCTCCCCAAGTCTCTCACCATAGCTATTTATGTTTGTAGTAAGTGTGTGGGGTGAGGCGGGGGTAAGATGAAAGATGGAAAGACATACTACTTTGAATTTCACATCCTTTTAAGTCCCTGCTCTTAATTATAGTTAATAGTTCCCAGTTTTGTCAGCAACTTCAATGCAAGGTAAAAATATTCGGGTCACTGAGTCTCTCTCCACTTATCCATCAGGCTATCTATTCAGACAAATGCTCGCTCCACCTGCAGGTCTGTGGGAAGTCCTTCGGAGATCTCTGAAATGACTCTCCTCGGAACCCTGCCTAAGACAGAGCTGTAGGCCATAGCCAGGCCCTGGACAGGGCCGAGCCAAGCAGTAGCACAGGGAAGCTGGGCTTTGTGGCCCCTTCCTGGGTTGATCTGAAACAAAGATTTGGGAAGGCTGGTATTTTCATAGCAATTAATTATTTCAACACACGTTACCTATCACCCGGCTCTCCTCATGCGGGTACTGTTAATACCACTAATCCATCTGACCTTCCTGCAAGGTAAAAATCTCTTCATTTTTATCCCCATTTGGCAGATTTTAATTAACTTCTCAAAGCCAACCAGTTAATCAGTGGAAAGCAGAGATGAAAAGTGGGACACCTGCTTCCCTGTGTGCTCAAAATCGCCAGCCACCCTCCCATTGTCTTCCCTGCCAAGCCTTGGGTCTGCAGGAAAAAGTCGATGGCCTTTTCCAGGAGAGAAGAGCAGTGTTCAAAAATCCATCAGCCTAACAGGTAGTCACACTGCATGGCTGGTTTCCTTCTGAGGCAAAATAAATGATTCTCTTAGTTCTAATACCCCGATTTTTCTTTAAGATGGGAATACTTGTGCCATGCTGTCAAAACCCTTGTAGGTTTAAAGATTTTCTATCAGATTGAAAGCCTTTGTGTTTTAGTAAGATAGGGTTGATGTCATCTGTGTGGCCCCAAGTAAACAGACCTGCAATATGTTCCCGATGCCAGATACACAGGGGAAGACAGGGTTCTTAATACAGCTAAGAGGCAAATAAATCAATTCTTAAAAGGCAAGCTAAGCCTGCAAAGCAGGCAGTTACAGGAACTGCCTCCGAGCTGTATCTGAGGTTCTACCGTAGGAGCACCAAATTACAGTTTTTGTCTCAAAATAGATAGGAGGTTGAATGGAGCACACAGAGATGTCTGGGTATTTTTGGAGTCTGGGAACATTCAGTGCTCTCAACACCAAAAGTCTTCTATGAAAGCTCCATGAGTTAGGCAGATGGGAGGTTACCTGAAGAAAGCAATCCCAAGCCTAAGGGAACAGTTATCAAGGGGACAGAGTATTAAGAGGCAGGTAAATAGTTTTGTTTTGTTTTTGTGGTGAGAAAGGCAAAAATAATATTTTTAAATGTTAAATGTTATTGTGTGGAATTTGATAGGACTCCTTTGCAGTAAAACAACTGGGATGCAGAATTAAAAAAAAACAAAAAACAACTTTTAAGGTTAATACCTTTGGGTATCTCTATATGCAGAGCTGCTCTCGACAAGCCACAAACCACGTATCCGAGTTACTGTTTCTTGTCCTCAGTGGTAACACCAACACATGGGCACACACCCACCCACGTGTGCGCACCTCCTTATGCTCTCTCTACACATCCCAGTGCATTAGCAGTAAGGTTTTGGAACATGATTTTCTGTGATTATTTTTTTCTTCTCCCGGAGGAGCATTTGGTATGTATGACAGTCTAGGTCCTAATAAGAGATTCTACCAGTTTCTTTTCCCAGGCAGACTGATGCTAACAAAATCCATTCACTTTTCTCTTTCCTCTTGCCCCACAAATCATATTAATATTTATATACATACATTACATATTTCATCAAAATTAATTTCAAAGTAGGCATTAGACATTTATTATTTTACATCTCTTAATGTCGTAGAATCATAATAAAAGAGATCTAGCTAATAAAGAATAACCAAAAATGCCTGTTAGATAATGTAATGTTTGTAAATCTTTATCACAGTGCCTGGCACATAGTCCCTGCTCAATAAATGGTAATGTCTATAATAATCACCTCCAATCATACCTCTGGGCAGTTAGGCATATTCTGGAGTAAGTTTTAAATAAGAAATAAATTTAGAAGGAGCATCTTTTTTCAGAGATTTATTCCAAAAAGCAATGTAAATGGCCGGAGGGTCATCACAAATTAATGCCATCTCCTAGATCTTGAATTCAATCCAAATCCAACAAATACACAGCAAGATCTTCATCATAATATCTTGCATCATTTCATTTAGAAGGCCATTGTATTTTAGTCTAATTTTCAAATAATTCTTTTATTCAAGTAATTGTAACTCAAGATTTGGGGCAAATAAAAATAGACTCCGTTTTAATTGAAACCATGAAGGAAATAAACCAGTCTTCTCTGAAGAACTAGAAACTCTTTTATATAAACAAGAAGTGTAATTTTTGCTGGTTCCATTCTGCCACCACTCTTTTTCCCCCCTATTTTGACAGAAATTTATTTATGATTCTTTTATTGTGTACCCCCTTTGATTGGTACACATAGGGGCTGTGACTTGGTCATCTGAAAAAAATTTTATTTCAAATAAAGGCTCCTTAGGTCTTTGTTTTTCAAGGCAATGCTTCTTTCTTGGAGAAATTTTTTTCTTGAGGCGTGGCGAGCAAGAGGAAAGCAAGAACTCACCAGAGAGCACACAACACTCAAGCAAAAAAAGAATGGAAAACAAATAACTTGCCTCTGGACTCCACATGGAAGAGCTATCAGCAGCATAGGACTCTTCAAATCCCTGGTTATTAAAGGCTGTCTCCAATTCCAAGCTGCCTTCTGTGGACTGGTGACTGAGGCTGCGAGGCACACTGGTCTCTTGGGGAGCTGTGCCATGGTGCCTGGTGTTCCCCACCTCACATGGGGACTGTGAATGGGCAGAAACAGGGTCATCTTCACCGTAGGACAGATTCTCAGAATAACTCAGCTGGCTGGCTCCATCCAAATCTAAATTTGCAATAAGGAAACTATCAAGACCTCAAAAGCAAAGCGTATCAAATAACACCTGCAGAAATGTAATTGCATCCACGTGATGGATAAACTTGGTCTATATAACCAAAAAGACCATTAGTTCATTACATGGGGTATAAGAAGGTTTAATACTTTCTAATAATATGACTATGAAGGATGTGTGTTAATGTTAAAAGGATAGAATAAACATATTAGCATTTTGTTGGAACTAACAGCCACAAGACCTTGGGGATAGATCTAGAAAGCAAGAGCAACAATCTACTATGGAGATCATATTGTGTCCTGACTCTACCATTCTTCTTTCTGTCTTCCATGTTCTCATCTTACCCTCTCCTTGGAAGGCTTCATGGTTCTCTCAGGTAAAAAGTTCTCTACTTGATCCACGGAAGGAACACTGGACTTGGATTCAGATGATCTGGGTTTAAATCCTAACTCTGCATTAAGAATTTACACAAAATTTGAACTGCCCAAACCCTTGTTTCCTTATCTATAAAATGACTATAAAAACCACTAGGGAATCATTGTGGACACATGAAATAATAGCCTCCTAGCAGTCACTAGTTTTCCATAAGTATTAGCCTTGCTTGCTTGTCTGGCCCCAACTGGCCTCATCCAACCTGGTAAACCACATTTTATACTGCCTCCCACTTTGCCGTCACCTGTGGTCCCATGGGCTCATGAAAACACTAGTTGTGTATTTCTGTTCACTGTGGTCCTCAAACCCCCTCTCCCCCAAACTGCCCTCTCCTTCTTGTCCATCCAAAGCCCAACAACACCTGAATCTTCCCTGACTTCTTGGACTCAGTGTTTTTCTCTGACCTTAGTGTTATTCTACTTTCTCTGTCAGTAGTCCCTCACCGATGCATCTCCTTCCTCTCCTTTAAAGTTTAGGTTACCCTCAGACAGTAAAGAAAAACAGGCAGGGTCTTCCTAAGCAATAGCTTTCACCCTGACTTTCCTCCCACATCCAGAAAGTAGCCAAGAATGTATTCTCTCTTTGGTCTCCAATCTCCTCCGGAAGACACCAACCCAGTATAAGAGAAAATTAGAGATATAGACAGGATGAGTGAGTACAGGGATTGACAAAGTATAGATCATGAATTCAGCTCTTATTTACACTGTATGGTAGCAACTGTTTCCACTGTTGGTCTTAAAGCCCCATCGAGAACATAATCTCCTGGGAGGTACTAAGCCACATACCTATGCTTTCTACTCTTTATCCACCAGTCGGTTTCACAAAACTCTCCAATAACTTTCAAGACTAGGCTGGTTAACAAATATCTGAAGCAGCCAGGTGTGTGGCAAAATGGAGTAGTGGGGACAGTGGTTTACCAGACAGTTTATGACCCACCTGCTGTAAACAGGCAAACTTAAAAAATACATTATCACCCTATGCAGACTATACAAAAACATCTTTAGGCAGACTTGGTACTCAGAGCACAACTTCAAACTCCTGATTTGGGATTTTGCAAAACCATGGCAATCCACCAAGAAGTTCCCCTAACTGCCTTGTTATTCTTAATAATTCAATTCAGGCCCCTTGGAAACACTTTCATAGGCCACCATAATATTTTTACATTCACACACCTCAGTTATTTGGCAAACACACTTTAAAAAGGCCACAGAAAATGACAGAACAAGGGATATTCCATATGCAAAACCCTACAACATAAAGCAGAATTTTCTTCTAAGGCTCTAATTAGCACATCCATTCCTCATATACATGAACACTAAAATGTCCTATTAAACAGTAGGTCATCCATCAACGTGTGCAGCACCCAGCAGGATTTCAGCACAAAATCTAACTTTGCCAAGAAATTACCCCCATAAAATTGTCTCATGACTTTAACCCCTACAGTGATAATACCTAGATCAGTAATAAGGGAATTTTCAAAAGCTACATTAAGCCTTGAAAAGCTATTCATAACTGAAAAACATAAGAACTATATTAATGTAACAAACCATTTTCCTTGACAGACAAGCAAGGAATGAATTAGAAAAGCAAAGCTGGGGTACAAGTCACGAGGCAGAGGAAAAAGAAAGGGGATTCACCATTACATAAAGCAATCTTCCCATCCTATAAGTTAAAGAAGACCGTGTCACCTTAAACACATACAGAAATGTAATTGCCTGTTGTCAGAGAAATGTATCCTAGCTTCTTAGAAATTATAGGCCATAATTATGTCACACCATATTTATTTTAGCAGAAAATTTTGCACTTTTTAATCCATGTCCCACTTTGACGCGGTATAATCCTATTATCCAGTTACTTTATTTTACACTCCCAAACCCTTCCCTCCTACCACCATCCACATAAAAATGCTTTTGCCCACCATCTACAATGGTCAATTTTATGTGTTAGCTTGGCCAAGTTATAAGCCTCAATTAATCAATCAAACACTAATTGAGGAGATACTATGGAGGTATTTTGTACATGTGACTAAAGCCCTTATGCAGTTGACTTCAAGTAAAGGAGATTATCCTACATAATTAGTCCATTGAAAGCCTTAAGAGGAGAACCGAGGTATCCTTGGACACAAAGAAATTTCACCTATGGATTTCAGAGCTCTAAATTTCTGTTTCTTAGCCAGCTCCAGCAATAGTGTAGGCCAATTCCTGGCAATAAATCTCTTGATATATAGGCCACTCTCATATCACCTTTAAAAAAAATTTTTTTAAGTAAACTCTACCCCAACATGGGGCTTGAACTCCTGACTCTGAGATCAAGAGTTGCATGCTCTACCAACTGAGCCAGCCAGGCACCCCAATGTCACCTTGATATATATAAAATCCTAATTGATACACCATCCCAAACAAAACTGAGCACAGATTACAGGGATAAGTGAGCTGTTTTAAATGATACCAGGAATGTAATGTCTAGCTTTTTTGAAACATCCTAAGAACTACATATTTCACAAGCAAAAATAAGGCCTTGCTCAAAAACAATTAAATAAACAAACAAACAAATTAATAAATGCCCTGATAAGTAGACTATTATTCTGCAGCCCACTTTTCAGACCTAAAGACTTGATATGCAGCCTCTAATCTGGATCACTTAGCACAAACCCTCTTTGACATTACTGGGGATGCAGTGACAGTTAATGCACAACTACACTAAGTCAGATAAATGAGACAAGAGAGAACTTGCCAGGGATATGAAGATAGCATTTGCTTGGTTCTGATAACCTCCCCCACTCCATCTAGAATGAAGCATCCTACTTGATGAAACATGAGACAACCTACCAATAACTCATTCATGGTTCAGAGTTTACTTGGATTTGGACCTTTACTTTCACTGGTCCAACATTTTGAAAGCATTTTTAAAGTGGAAGAATTGTCTACAATTAAATTTTATCTTAGAAAATCACATTTAAGGTAGAGTGAAAAAAAGCTAAATAGATGGAGGACAGGCAAAAAAAACCCCCACAACTCCTCTCTGGAGTACGTGCTTAATCTCTTCCTTATTCTTAACTGCTGAAAACAAATTCACAAATCTAAAGATGAACAAAAAGAAATTACACAGAACAAAAAATCATGCAATAAAAATTACATTAACATTTCCATGGCATTTGATAACCTAAAATTTAACATGCAGTTATCCCCTTCTATGAAAATCCTGCAGATTTTCTTCAAAATCTACAGGTAATTTATCCAGTGCAGTATGATTTTCCTCCCTCCAATAAGAGAAAGAAATGTGATCTTTCCTGTCACTCTCTGTCAAGTTTTTCAGAATCACCAGTTATGAATAAAATTATTGCTAATTCCAGAAGCAGTGAGGGTTAGAATGGTTGTCAGAACTCTCAGAACATGGGCCATTTGTATAAATCAGAAACTAGACATTTAGGCTTTGGGGAAATGGGGCCATTAGCTTTAGAATGCAGTGAGATGCTCCTAGGGAATCAACTGCTATTAACTTTCATTAGCTAACATTTGCCCTCTCAGCGGAGGGGGAGGACCGCTGTGATGGAACACCAGCAAAAGAGAAAACAGGAGAGGGGTGAGTGAATGACAGAGGTCAGTAGCTACCAATACAATACGGTGGTCACTTACCTTGTGCTAACAGGAACAGCAATAAAATATGTTATGTTGGCCCATATCAATAAGTACAATTACATGACAGCAAATCATTACATTTCTGCTGATTAAATAAATAAGATTCTTTCTGTATATTTTCCTTTTTAAAATTTTTACTTCGTTCTTTTTCAGGCTGCCTCATCCACCTCATCAAACCAGACATTTATTCTCTGTTATCTTTTCTCAATCTTGGAATCTCCTTTTTCTCTTTCTATTGTTAAGGGTTGCAAAATATGGAAGACCTACAACTACACCCCCATTGGTTTGACTGACCATGTGTCCAAAGGAAAGACGGAAAAGATTAGAGAGCACAGGTCATTTAGACCAGGTCACTTAAGCGGGCGGTGTGACATTTCTTCTAGCTTTCTACCTAATACGATTCACAAACCCTTCCTAGTTTCAATATCCTGTGCCTACTCAGGGTTCTGGGCAAAAAAAAGTCAGAGAAATGCCTGACCTTCACTAGGGAAAGCACTAAGAAATATTTTACTGTTCTTTTGCTAGGTTATTTTGTGTGAGTGGTGTGGAGAGAGGATTCTTCACAAGGCCAACCTACCATAACAAGCCACAAGCTGTGCTTACTGTACCTCAGAGTATTTCCCCTCCCCACTGTGGAAGGTACTCAGTCTGAAGACACTGGAGAATGGCAGAAGACCTTGCTCTTGCTCAGCAAGCAATTCTCCTGTGGGGCAGGGGATGGAGGCGGGGAGGGGGGCACCACAGAAACTACAGGGAATGAGGGCAGATGTGCAGGGTATGTGCTGTTTGAAAAAGGTTACTCAATATTACTGTAATACATGTTTTTATTTGAAAGATAAAACATACCTGTGGCTTTAATAATACGAACTACTAAAAGAAAGATTTCAAAAATTGTCTGAGGCTATATAGATAAATAGAAAATAGACTCTGACTCCAAATGAGAGAAAAGGCACAGAATCTCAATGTCAGCAAACAGGTTATGTGAAACGTTTGTATTTATCAGAAGAGATTAAGATTATATAAAGCTTAATAAATACCATGCTAATTCTAACCATTAGTGTTCAAAATATACCAAATGATAACCTGTAAGGAAGGAAGGAGTCCCACAAATCAGGGGTCAAGATTTTGGCACTTTTTATCCATTCCTTCTCCCAGTTCCCTGCATGACACCCCCTCTGCAAGGTTTGAAAGAACCCCTTCACTCTGTTCCAGCCTCTAGGTCTTGCCGCATTTTCTTTTCCTCTCTGGACCCTAGATACAAGTATAGTGATTGACTCAAAGATGTTCTTACCATTGTCCTTCCCTGCTCTAGGTAAAGAAAGGGTTTCATGCAAAGAATACCTTCGCAGGCAGACACTTCTGTGTTATCCTCCTCATGGGTAGAGAGCAGGTGGCTGAATTTTGATTTTTGTTCCAATCCCACCTGCTTTCCTTTTTCAGATGCTTCTGAATGGAAACTCTGGGACCGGGACACAGAAATCTCAAATTGTTTGATCACCTCTTCGTCACTGTCAGAAGATGTGCATGGCTCTTCATCATCTCCAACGCTGTTAACTGGGAGCAAACAAGAGCCGTGAGTCTCATGTGGGGCTCACAAGAATACAGAGATCAATAATCCAGAGAAATAGAAGAACATGGAAGAACATGAATGATTAGTCTGGATAAAGCAGGCCCAACCCAGGCAGAAAGATTTTAAAGCATTTTTTGAAACACAAATTTGAGTCCAAAGAAATAAAACAGGAAAATAAAGCTTATGTGGGCAAGTAGAAATATGTGGTTGGAACCCAGGAGGAACCATCGGGACACCCCTAGTTGACATATTAAGACCTTTTGTTGAGCAGGGCAGCCCTGCTGATTTGTTGCATTGCTGACGTGTGCTTATAACTGGGAACAGGGCATTTGACAATGATGACAGAAAGTATGCTCTTAGCCTCATCTCTGTTACTAAAACACAAAGAGCCAAGTCCCACTCCAGAGAAGACATACTTGCAACTGAGAACTTCCAATAGTGTCCTAGTTTTGAAGAGACACCCACAGTTGTGTATGCAATTTATACAAAACAAGTTTTTATTATAATGTTCTGATATCTTTCTCAGCACCAACAACCCAACCCAAACACCCTTTGAATTATTTGTACCACTTTCCCCATATAAGCTCACTGGCCCTTTCAGTTTCTCCAACAAGCCAAGATGGTTCTTCCCTTTGAGTTCTTTGTCTTTGTTGTTCTTCTGCCTGGAACCCTCCTGCCCCTGGTGTTTTCCTGGCTGGCTCCTCTCACCACTGAGGTGTCAGCTCCACTGTCACTTTATCCTAAACTCAGCCTCATTGTCGCACCTTTAGCAATTTTCTTCAAAACACTTCTATTCCTCTCTTTTCCCCCCATGACTTCCATGAAAATAAAGACATCATTTGTTTTGTTACCTGATGTCTCTCCATTATGTAAAACAATGCCTGTTGCATAGTAAGTGCTTAACAAATGCTTGTTAAGTCTTGAAGAAACTGGTGAAGATCCAGTGTTTTCTCCCAAGCCTGAGCACCCCCACCCTCCCCACCCACACATACTCACCCAAGGTTCCCTGTGCCCGAAATATTTTCCCTCAACCCCTGTCTGGACTAGTCAAGAATCTAGCTCATCATCAGGACTCAGTATAGACATCACTTCTAGAACGCTTTTCACTGACCCCTTAAATCAGGTTCAGGGCTTCTTCCATGAGCTGTAAAATAGCTCTCAGCCCTGCCCTATCAGTGTTCCCTCCAGCCTTGTGACAGATTTACCTATTTAATTCCCAACCATTCCACCTAACCTGTACACATCAGGGGATTAAGAGGCAGAGCGGACCGCTCACCTTCCCATCCCTTCAGGCCCTATCTCCATGCCAGGCATATGGCAGGCTACTCTGTAAATATTTGCTGAAAGTAAATTGGAAATTATAAATAATGGGTTTTGGTTTTTGTTTTTTTTTTTCAGACAAAGAGAGAGAGTTGGGAGGGGGTTGGGAGAAAGGGAGGGAGAGAGAGAGAATCTTAAGCAGGTTCCACATCCAGCATGGAGCCAGACGGAGGGCTCTATCTCACGACCCTGAGATCACGACCTGAGTCAAAATCAAGAGGCAAGCACTTAACTAACTGAGCCACCCTGGAGCCCCAATGGGAAATCATTTTTTAAAAATTTGCTCCTTCCATCCAAAACTCATACAGTAATTCTTGGGAAGAGTATGGTCATTAATTCACAGATGGGTCCTGAAGATCACTTCTGAATCAGAAGTTAAGAAAAAATTATAAAGACATTTTTTAAGTGAGAGAAAATACTTTAAGTACCAGCCTGGTCAAAACATCTATTCTCTGTCTTATTTAAGAGTTGATATTACTGAGTTTGTTTAGAAGATTAGTAATAATAATAATCACTTATTTGTTTGTTTATGTGCCAGGAACTGTCCTAAGTGCCTTACACATATTATCTCATTTAATCCGCATGACACACCCATTATTGCTCTCATTTTCCAAGTGAGAAAATTGAGAAAAAGAAAAGTCTACAACTGGCTGAAGATTACACTCCCAATAAAAGGTAGAACCGAGATTTGAATCAAGGTAGCCTATCTCTAGAGGCCATGTTTCTAATTATTATTCTGAAGAACCAGAGAGATGCAGTGGAAAGAACCCTTCTGTGTGCTCACATCAACCAGCTCAGTCCCTGTGGTCAAATCTCTTAACCTGTCCGGATCATTGCTAATGTCTGGATCCTTTCCCAGGTCTTCTCTAGATCTAAGTTTTCTGACTCCAAACTTCCTAACGTCAACACTGGATCTGTTTTGCTCTTTTATGAAGCAGCTGATCCAAGAATACAAGAGCACATCACTGTCAGTTCACTCAATTCTGTTGGCTGTGACCAGCACCAGTAAGACTTGAAAAGCTAAGTGTCAAAAGACACTAGATCGGAGGGGAAGATGAACCATGAGAGACTATGGACTCTGAGAAACAAATTGAGGGTTCTAGAGGGGAGAGGGTGGGGGGATGGGTTAGCCTGGTGATAGGTATTAAAGAGGGCACATATTGAATGGAGCACTGGGTGTTATATGCAAACAATGAATCATGGAACACTACATCAAAAACTAATGATGCAATGTATGGTGATTAACATAACATAATAAAATAAAATTAGATTTCTTTAGGTTATTGAAAAAAAAAAGACACTAGATGTTCCGCTAATACTAAAAAACCATCACAAGAGGCAGTCTTCCCATGTCTCAACATGCTGTGAAAAGCACCTGTTGTGGGATAGACCATCACATATGGGAGAGACCCAGAGACCAATGGAGCAAAATTAAACTCCCTTCACCATTAGAGCAAGGGACAAGCTAAGCACCTGGGAAGGAGTTAGGGAGATATATGCATGGGAGGGTTATTTGGATGAAGCATTCATTGGAGTTCTAAGTCTGAGATTCCATTCCATTTATATTACGAGGTCAGATTTTTAAATGTAAGTAGTCATAGTCATCAGTCTCAAATTGAGTGAGTGGGTATTTCCTCATCTATAAAATCAATAATTGAAATTCATTAATTTTTTTTAGAATTCATTAATTTACCATTATATGATCCCTGAGTTTTTTTTTTTACCCCCAGTGAGTCACTGATCATCCACAGAGGAAAGATTTCCATTTCACTAAACATATACTACATTCCAGACACCTTCTTGGGACTTTCCATATATTATCCCATTTAACCATCACAGCAACACCATGAAGTAAGGATCATTATTATTCCCATCATAGAGATGGAAAACAGAGGTACAGAAAGTTAAGTAACTTGCCCTAAGCAACAAAGTTAGCAAAGTAACAAAATGGGACTTGCACATAGAACATATGTTCTTAGCTAATGTGCATATCATCAAACGTTATTGTGTGAGGACACTAGAGCCATATCTAGTTTATTTTCAGAGTGAGGGAGGGTGCTCTGCCTCTTCCACCCTGAAATCTGCCAGTAGGTTGCTTCCTTTGTGAGAAGAGAAGAGCAGTCAGTCCATGTGGGAATGAATACATACAGTCAGGCCGCAGTATAACTGGCCTATTGCTCCCCATGAGATTATAAATAAAACTGCATGTGCTATTCTAAGCCTCACTCCCCAAGGATCTCAGGGAATTCTCCATTTAAAAATGAAACCCGCCATCCTTCCTAAAAACTTCTCAGCAGCTACATAAGTTACTAGTGGTACTATTACAATAATAAAAGCAATTCCACATACAGTATGTATCATATGCAGGCACTATTCTAGAACTTTACATATTTTAACTTATTTACTCTTTACAATAACCTAAAGAATAGGTACTTTATCATTCCCATTCTGTGGATGGGAAAACTGAGACAAAGTGAGGTTAGTAATTTGCCAGAGTCATAACAGTTAGAAGATAGTGGAACCGAGATTCAAACCCAGGCTATATTGCTCCAAAGTCAATGTAAATGAACATAATGCTCCCTCTACCATCTGCGGCCTCAAGAAAAAAAAAACAACTTTCTAAAATCCTGGTCAAAATCTACACAACTTTGTTTTATCACTAAGAACACAAAATCACATAGGTTGAGCTGGAAAGAATTTTTATAACCATCTTTTTTTTTTAGAGAGATTTTATTTATTTATTTGACACAGAGGGGGAGAGAGAGCACAAGCAGGGGGAGCTGCAGGCAGAGGGAGAGGGAGAAGCAGGGGGCTCGATCCTAGGACCCTGGGATCATGACCTGAGCCAAAGGCAGACGCTTAACCAACTGAGCCACCCAGGCGCCCCTATAAGCATCTTTTTAAAAGATTCCTGCTACTTGCCTTGTAATGAGTCTATGTCAACAACTAAATAGCTGATCTGGATTTCATTCAACTTAAATTTTTGAAAAGCACAAAATCTCATCTCAGTTGTGACAATTATTTCGGAGATAAGATAGTACTTTCTGAAACACCCTATAAATACCAAGTTAAAACCCCTTTCATGCTAGGTACCTGGGAAATAACACAGTGGCAATTTGTGTTAAAATCTTCACCCCTTCATCCAATTAGCTTGCTAAAATAATAGGGAAAAAATTGGACAGTTACCATGGATGTGGATACATCTTAAAGTTGAGATTATTCATTTCACTCAAAACACAGAATACAGAGGGATCATAGATAGCACCCAAATCTCCACCACCAAAGAGAAGGCAGACTCTTCTGCAACCTTTCTGATGCTTGACCACCCAGCTTCATGCCTTTGTTCACACACTGCCGGGGTGCTACTGTGGGATTCTTGCATTGGCAGGAAGTTTGTCTTGGAAAGGTAGACAGAGCTGACTGAAGACCCATCAATACCAAATCCCTACTGCAACGGAGTCAGAATGTCCCTCCCTCTAATTTTTAATGATTTTTTTTTTTCTAGTTTAAGTAGGAAGGGGCAGAGCAAGGCCATCTTTATCTTTCACATTTAAGTAAAGACGGTGCGGCCCCAGAGCCACAGAAACTGCCTGTCAAGTATAACGTCAGTCAAGGCTAGAGTGGTGAAGAGTGTGGAATCTGGAGCCAAGCTGCCTAGCTTTGA